TATATATATATATATATATATATATATATATATATATATATATATATATATATATATATATATATGAAGAGTTCAAACGAGAACACCTTCTTTTTACGAGAATGCGAGAACACCCTTTTACTATAGACAATCACATGTGATACTATTATTTCATCACATATGATACACATGTGATACTAAATCAGAGACGCGAGCGATTTTTGATGCAATCATGGTTGCGAGCCAAGTCGCCCTTACACCACTAAGCCCTATCACAAGTATTATCACATATGATAAGGGCGTTGTTGATATGATACTATAATCATAGACGCATACAACCTTTGGCACGGCCTAAGTCGTAGAACACGTCGTTTGCACATCACAGGATGAAAATTATAATTTCTAAACCAAGGGTTAGAAAATAGAAATTATTAACAAAACACACGAACGAAAATCATAATTCTCTCTATATTATTATTATAAAAATAGTCTTTGATTAAATATCCAAAATAGAACTTAGAATGACAAATTTACAACTTCGTTTTAATCATCAGTCCATGACGTGTATGAATTCGTGAAACTGTGAGTGATGTGATTAGATAAATATATAAAAGTGTAAAATCTACAGTTAAAATTGTAACAACAAAAACTAAATAAAATTAAAAATACTAAAAGATTAAAAAAAATATAAACGTAACGCCTCATAATGTAAAAAACATTTCCTTTTCACAAGCCGGCGGTCTTAATGGAAACCGTTTTTGTACATTTTACTCACCCTAGACCCTACTTTTGCACAGGATTTACTGGATCCGTTTGGTTTGGTTTGGTTTGGTTTTGGTTTGTTCATGCGTCACAATGACGTGAAAATTTTGTGGGCAAGCCAAGTCCCTGCTCGGTTAAATCAAATCAAACAGACCCAGTATATCCCGTCTGAAGGTGGGGTCTAGGGAGGATAAGATGTAAGTAGACCTGACCTCTACCCCAAAAAGTAAAACAGTTGTTTCCATGAAGACCTTTGTCTTGTGGAAAGCGTAACAAATAGAGAAAGTAGAGAATGATAAAGATTTAAAAGTCGGTCTGCAACTAACTTCCTACAATTTTTAGCCGATTTAACGGTTCATTTGGGAATTTTGGTTCCGGGGTTTGCGAAACATTGTAATAAAGATAATACCTGCAAATCAACCGATAAATCCTTTACGTTGTCTTCCGAGAGTTTTTTCTCCTGTACAGCATAACAAAGATGGTTAAAAAGTTAAAAACGAATAAATTTTTGCTACAGGTGAGAAATACAAGTTTATAGTTTAAACCTTTTCAAGTTTATCATACGATTTAATCGCATCTCTTCTTATGTTTCTGATTGCTACCTACATAACCGAAGAAAAAAATACGATCAAGAAAAATTTTAAACAAGAACGAGACGAGCAAACGGCCTAAAAACGTACTTTCCCTTCCTCAGCCTGCTTCGAAACAATTTTTGACAGTTCCTGCAATCGCAAGCACAATCAAGCTATAAAGATTCAGAAATGTGTCGTTGGGGGTACAATAATTGGTTTATTTTTGTCATCAAAATGCGGAATACGGGTCATTGACCCAATGGGATCCGGGTGTTACTGGTAGATCCCAACCTCCCTGGAATCAAGGGTTCAAGTCTCACATTTTGCTGTTTATAAATATTATATGCTTTAAAAAATGAGAAATACGGGTATAAAGGGACCACCTTTCTCCTGTCCGATGTGAGCTGTGGAATGGATAATCGTATCATTTCACCATCGTTACTCGGAGTCAAACCAAGATCGGAGTTGACTATGGCCTTCTCGATAGCCTTTAAGCTGAAAAAAGGACCCAATCAAACTAGGCATCCTTAATGTTTATTAAATTAAAAATAATTGTGATCAACTTCAACAACAAAACGGCGTGTGTTTGGTAAGTAGACGGACTGGATGGGCAAGAACGAGGTAGGCAAATGAAAAGTCATGCAAGGTTTTAGGGTTTTTACTTGACAAGGGTAAATTAGTAACTTACCAATCTTGTCTCATTTCCCTTATTTTTTTTCCATCTATTCTGGTGGGACCAAAAAAGTGCAGTTTTGTCCCACTCGGTCTTATCCTGTCACATCCTGGCTCGGGTGCCAAGCACATGAAATCGGTCTACTTTTTCATAGAAACTTGTAAAAAAAATTCCACCCGGAAATGCAGCAAATTGTGGTAAGAGTTTCGTTATCACTTGATTTATGTTGGAGCTACGAAGGTTGGCCGACAAAAGATCACGTACCTAGATTTGTCGTAAGGCTGAATTAATAGAGAGCTCGAATCAGGAGTGCTGATTTGCGCTATGGTCTTCAAATTGACAGGTGAACCATAGTACTCCACCTAGAGAGACATGCTAAAATCATAAACGGAATACATAGATAATTGTAATAACGAGAGACAAAAATGGAGGCTCCCCACAACCGCGCCATATGCGGTCAATCGTGGTCGACCTATGTTTTCCATAACAATCTTTTCTGGGAAGAAAATCCGCCTTCTAAGGTGCGTTTGGTACGACAGGACTGGACCAGACAGGACAGAACTGGACAAGCGAGAGTGAGCAGGCCGGGTGAAAGAAGTGTGGAAGGTTTCAGGGTTTTAATTTGACATGGGTAGTTTAATAATTTACCGGTCTTCTATCATCTCCCTGATTTTTGTTCCACTTATTTTGGTGCCTATCCTGTTACGACAAGACTGGACCAAACAGGACGAAACTGGACAAGCGAGAGTGAGGTAGGCAGGTGAAAGAACTGTGGAAGATTTCAGGGTTTCAATATGGCATGGGTAGTTTAGTAATTTACCAATCTTGTATCATCTCGTTGATTTTTGTTCCACTTATTTTGGTGGGCCAAAAAACACTCAGAACCATATTGTTACGACAAGACAGGACTAGACCGGAGGAAACTGAACAAGAAAGAGTTAGGTAGATGGGTGAAAGAACTGCAGAAGGTTTCAAGGTTTCAATATGACATGGGTAATTTAGTAGTTTACCAATCTTATATCATCTCCCTGGTTTTTGTTCCACTTATTTTGGTGGGGCAAAAAAAAAACAGATCCATCCTGGTACGATAGGACAGGACCAGGACGAAACTGTACAAGTGAGAGTGAGGTAGGCGAGTGAAAGAACTATGGAAGGTTTCCGGGTTTTAATTTGACTGAGTAGTTTAGTAATTTACCAATCTTATCTCATCTCCCTGATTTTGTTCCACCTATATTGGTCTAAGAAAAAAAAAATTGCCCTACTCAGTCTCATCCTGTCCCAATCTAATGTCTTTCAGGGACAAGTTTTTATTCTGCCATATCTCGTCTTGTCCCACATACCAAACGCACCCCTAACAATTTCCACATCAAATACAAAATCATATCTATGTGATAAAACGCCAAACAACCCAACACTTTTCCGTCAAGAAACTAATCTATCAAATGCTGACTCAATTTAAACAAATCAAAAGTGGAGGAGCTCAAACCTCGACTTTATCAAGCATTGCGGGATTTGATCGACCCGTTCTTATAGAATTGAAATTCGATAGCACACTATCGATGGCCTTCTCCATCCTCTCTCTCTAAAGCATATCAAGAAATGAAAACAAACATTACTTGATAATGAAGGTGAATATTTCAAGTTTTTAACACAAGTCATAAGATTTACGAAGTTAAAAGGAATGCATAGCTTCGTTTAATCAACTTACAGCATTCTTTTCAATTAGAAATTTCTCCGCCTCTATTTCTTCCATGGTGGCACACTTAATGGTTGCATTTCTGAAAAGAAAAAAGAACGGATTCCACATTCGCATTCATTATATCTAAACCCACAAACACATGCCATGGGATCGAACCCATGATTGTGTAATCTAATGCCTCAAACTCAAAGCAACAAAATAACCCGAATAACCTTCAAATCAAAATACCATTTTAAGATGGGTCCATAGTTATAATCAATCACAGACAATGTGCAAGGCACCATTACAAACTACCTCACTTAAATTTATAATTAAGCACAACATAATCCCAAAACCATCACATCATCCATGAAACCTGTAAAATCCCAAGCCAACGGTACCAGATATTGTTCGCTTTGTCCACAATTGGACTCAAGATTTTAATATGTGTCTGATAGAGGAGACATCCAGTCCCTTATAAGGCAACTTTCATTCTCTTCCCCAACCAATGTGGGATCTTACAATCCACCCCGTAGGAGCCCGGCGTCCTTGCTGGCACACTAGTCCGCTCCCGGCTCTGATACCATTTCTAACATTCCAGGCCAACCGTACCAAATATTGTCCTCTTTGTCAACACCTAGACTCGATTTTTAAAACACATCTTATAGAGGAGATATCGGGTCCCTTGTAAGGCAACTTTCGTTCCTCTCCCCAACCAATGTGGGATCTTATAAAACCCGTGTGAATATCTGAACCCACATTCGATTACTCTCCAAAAGAGCTCTTGAGGAGAGAAAGGGAGGTTCCAAAATGTATCAAGGAGAAATTGTCCAAGTCTAGCTAATGTGGGATTCTGTCACGCCCTCACCAACAGAGGCTAGACGGGCACAAATTGTGGAAAGTGTCGAGAGGGAGCTAGACGAGTATAGATTGCCCCCGAGTGTTAGTCCCTAAAGTGGTAGACCTGACTCTCTGATACCATGTAACGATATGCCATTGGATTACTCGCCCAAATAGCTCTTGGGAGAAGGGAAGGTTCCAGGATATATCGAGGAGAAATGGTCCAATTCTAGCGTGTGGGACTCTAACCAACCATACATAACATCCCGGACCAACCGTACCAGATATTGTCCGTTTTGTCCCAATCTTGACTCACAATTTTTAAAACACGTCTGATAGAGGAGGTCTCCGGTTCTTATAAGGCAACCTCCGTTCCCCTCCCCAACCAATGTGGGATCTTACACAATATCTCCATGGGGCATTCCATTTCTAACTCCCAGATCAACAAGAATAACCTCTAATAAACCACAAGGCTGGTGCCCGATTGGTTTGAGCTTGGGCTCCAAAGGTCAAAAGTGCCTGGAGGTCTCAAGTCCAATGAGGAATAAAAATCCCCTTGTGGCCACTGTAAAGCGGGTGGACGCCTTGGGATTAGTCGGCTCGCTTAGTTGGTTGGATATCCACGTTAATCAAAAAAGGAAAAAGAAAGAATAACCTCTGATAAACTAAAACAATGGTAAATTTGTGATGGATAGCCAAATTATCAATGGTTAAGCCACTAAATACAATTATCCTCATGAATTCAACTATCAAAACAAGTAAGAAAAAACATGAAAAACAGATACCAAATTGCCAATTTAAGTCACCTCTTCTGTGGCAGCCCCTTAACAACAATCGTATTCCTTGCTCTCAATTTCACATAATTCGCAGAAGAGCTCCATGACAACAGATTCCCTGAAGCCAAAATTGCAATTCAAAGAACAATAAGTCACTATTCATGACAATTCCACAATCAAATTGAAGAAAAACCGAAAAGTAGTCAAACGAGAATGGAAATATAGAATGAATTAGAAACTAGATAAAAATACCTTGAAGAGAGAGGAGTGATTTTGGGGGGGTTCGCAGTTTGGCGGTAATTCTGGGTTGTTGGCAAATGGAACGCACAGATGATGTAGCAGGTGACAATGACGACATCGCCATTTTTATCTGAAATTGAAGCTTGAAAATCTTCGAATTAGAGAAAGGGGCAACAGGTTTTGGATTATATAGTCTTGAGAGGAACTCAGGAAACGGAAAAGGGTCGGAGATCGTTGTTTGGATAAGAGGGTCTACGAAGTAGAAACAGCCAGTCAAAATTTACAGCGGCAGTTCCTCCATTTTCATCTTCTTTCCCCCAATTTCGAACATGGACTGTTTGGATTTTGGGCTTCGATTGATTTGTATGTTTGTGTTTGTTAGACTAGAAAATGGGTCGGGTCGGGTCGGTCATTTTCAAGGTTATTGGTTTAACAGATTTTTTATAATAATCTTTAAAATAAAAAAAACATGAAAAAGTTGCAAGTTTAGAGATTTCTTAAAAACTTGATTTTTTTGATAGAAAAATAATTATTTTATTTTATTTCAAGATTAAAATATAATTATTTTATATAGAGTTTTTCCTTAAAAAATGTATTGGAATAATAAATTAGAAAATATTATAATTTATGTTAAAATCTCTAAAATATGAAATCTGTTGGAGTTGAATATAATTCTTTTTAAATATTTTAACTTTTGGTTATATATTTTAAACTTTTATAGGGAACATGTTGGACTTGCTCTTAGAGACTGTTTACCAAACAATTACCCGGATAAGCATAATCATTTACAGATAGAATTCAACATTATCACTTACTTATCGAATAAGATTTTAGCCTACCTAAACATTATCGTATGCAATAATTTTATCTCGATAAGTGCTAATTGTGGTAAAACCCGTCGCCCTCACTTACAGGACAAGACTATCGTTCTTGTCTTCAATCTTATCGTGTAAGATTTTTGGTTTTTATCATATTCATCCGATAAAGCAATGTGACTTTGTAAGTGCTTACCCAGGTAAACGTTTGGTAAATGGTTCATTGGAGAAATTTAGGGGTTGTTTGGATAAAGCAGGGAAATGAAAATGACAAATAATGAAAATAAAAATGAGTTTCAATTCCCCCAATTGACACTGAATGAAAATTTGGGTTTTTTGGGGAAATGAATCAATTATATTACATAAAACCAAACAGTTTTTTTTATATTCAATCTCATTAACGACTGTTTAACACCTCTATCCAAACACCCCCTTAATTAAAATTAAAGCAAATTATATGTTTCATTCCTGTGGTTAGGTGTTTTTAACAACACTTGTTTCTTTTCTGAAAATTTAACTGATTGTATATTTGTGGTTGCATTTTTACAACAAGTTGGGTTCTTAATAACAACAGGGCCATGTCATTAATTTATTTATGAACGAAACTCATAAAAAAAACAATGATAGAGACCGAACTCATTAAAAATGCAACCATATGGATGTAGCTCGTTAAAAAACACAACTGCAAAGACATGTTCTGTTAAATTTAAAAGAAAAAAAAAGGAAAGAATTGTAAAAGAACACCTAACTATATGGACGAACAAGTAATTTATGGGTTATTTACCAAACATTTACCCGATAAGCCCTTATAGGTAAGATTTAATTTTGTCACTTATTTATCAGATAAGATTTTAATCCACCAAAACAGTATCATATGCAACAATTTACCCGGAAAGCGCTAAACATGATAAGAGTAATCTCCTTCACTTATCGGGTAAGACTCTCAGTCCCTGCCTTCGCTCTTATCGAATAAGATTCTTGATTTTTGTCATATTCATCCCGTAAGGTAAGGTAAGCACTTACCCAAGTAAAACGTTGGATAAACAACCCATTTGCTCTTAAAACTTATTTATAAGAATAAATCACAAATTTAGATCATATAGTTGTATGAAAATAATTATAAATATCATTAGTGTCGTTTTAATTTTATTACAGATTAGATCTCTGATTTTTATATGAAAAAATAGAAGTCCCTGCCTACTGAACGAATACAACAAATACGGTAGAAAATAGAATAGAAAATATGTTTTTTGAAAAATGATTTATTCTAGAATGAAAATGAGAATGAGTTTCCATTCCCTCCAGTTTAATCTGGAATGAAAATTTGAGCTTCTGGAAAATGAACTCAGTATATTATATAATATCAAACAGTTTCTTTTATTTTTCATTTACATTGATTATTATTTAATACTTTTAATCAAACAGCCCCTCCTCAATTTATGTATGAAATATATTCCATTATAATTCCCACTATCACATAATCATTGTTTAATCGTTGGCTTGAGTTTTATGTGAAATAAAATGGAAAGAGTACATATTTATCAATATACCCTCAAAATAAAATTAATTCTCTTATAAAACATCAAATACGTCGTTCTTTTTGCATCTTATTTATTCTTTAAGTTTTATTTATTGCATTTCATTCTCTTTAAACTTTTACTTTGTTATCCTCAAAATTCCATTTTTATACTTTTTTTTATATATTTTAGCTGATTTATGTAATTTATTAAATATTATAAATGTATAAAATAAAAACTAAAAATTACATTAACATTGTATTTTAGTATCACTGTAATCGTCTTGACGATAACTTTCTAATGTTTTGTTATAAATAATATTTATTTTTTATTATAATAAATAACTTACATAATTAATTAAAAAATGGAAAAAAAATAAAATGAAAAAATGAGAAAGTAAAACGAAAGGGATAAAGTATTTATAAATATAATTTTCTGTATTTATTATTTTATGAATAAGAAATAAAATAATAAATATTTAGGTCCTTTTAACGTGAGCTTTTTAGTCAATATGTTATGCTAGATGTTTTGTATTTTTAAAATATTATTCGATAATTTTCTAATTATTTGGTAGAAAATATTAAACGACTGATTATAAGTAAATTAATCATTTTACCTGTCATGTTATATTTTGTCATGTCTTGTCTGGGTACCAAAATGCACCCGAACGAAACAAGCACAAAATGGTCTTTATTTTAATTTTAAATTAAATGAAGGGGAAAAAACAACTTGAATATGATTTTATCGTGGAAAAGGGACTATTTGATTGTTAAATGGTTGCAATTTTTTGTACATGAGTAATGTGAAATTAAGGGGTTGTTTGTTTATCTCTTAATAGTTCTATTAAGAGACAACATCTGAATCGTTAAGACGTGAATCTCGATTGACCAAAAAAAAAGTCTGACTCTTAATTGTTCTAAAACCCTCTGAATGATTTTGTATCATAAGTCTCCCTTAACCATTAAAAACTCTAATTTCATTGCAAACAGTTACATTTCATTTTGCATTATATCAGGAGAGCCTATTAATCATTATGACCATTTAATCATTCAACAACTATTAAACAACCCCTTATACGTACTATTATTAAAAGTAATAACATATGAATCTTACAACATATCATGATTAAAAAGAGGACACGGTATAATCCAATATAATGCACAATGACAACTCATCTTTGTTCACTCGCTCTTTCTGGTCACATTTTCTTGGTTGTAATTTAGAAACGCTTTTTTTCATTCGAGACGTTTTTATTTTTTTTATTACTTTGTCACACTTTTCATAAGTCGGGAGTTATTTATTTTATCCTTAGTTAGTGTAAAGGTCAGATATATGTACATCTTATCCTTCCTAAACCCTGTCTCCAGGTGGGTCATACTGAGGTTGTTTAGTTCGATTTTATCTTTAATTTGTTTAAGGGTGTCGTTTGATATGTAGAAAAACTGATAAATTGTCGTTCAGATATTTTATAGCGTTTGGTGTATTGATTTTGGTTTCTAATTTTTCTAAGGCTAAAATAATCAATCTTTTAGAACACGTAAAATAATGTTGCAAGAAAATTAATATTTAAAGGTAAGGCTATGTCTGGAAAACTGGCTGATAAGCTAATTATTATTTGAAAACTACCTAAAAGTTAATTACATTTTGATAAAATGGATTCAGGTTAATTATTTAAAGGTAAGGCTATGTCTGGAAAACGGTGATATTTTAGCCGTCTTTTGGACTATGTATTCAGGAAATGGATTCAAGTTACGTGACATTCTAAAATATATATATATATATATATATATA